TGGGGGGCCGGGGGTGAAGCGGGGTGGGTGGTGGGGGGGGGGGGGGGGCTGGAGGTCAGCACCGAATGGGCTGCGGCCTCCCGGCTGATGGTCCAGGAGCGGTGGCCCACAAACCTGGCCCACTTGGCTCCAGGCCTCCATCCCCTCGCCTGCTCCTACCTCCCCCCAGGCCATCAACGACCTGACCTTCACAGAGGAGGTGGACGTGAAGGAGATGGAGAAGGCCTTACAGGAGCAGGGCTACATTTTCGGGGATTTCATCGAGCGGCTCTGGGCCTACCTGACCATCGAGCAGCTGCTGGAGAAACGGTGACCCCGTCCACCTCGCCTAGCCAGCCCCACATGCCCAGCACCCTCAAGCCTGCCTGGGCTAGCTGTGCTGAGGGCAGCCCCGGTTCCCCCAGGGCACCTCCATGCCCAGGGCCAGCCCTCCTGCCCTCTTGCTGACCCAGCTGAGGACATGCTGACAGAGCAGGCTGTGAGGAGCCAGGGCCCCTGCTCCCCACCCTGTCATCCAGAGACCCAACGGGCAAGCTCCCCGGGATAACAGTTGCATGTGCCTCGAGGGCAGGAGAGGCCTCAGCGCCCTGCTCCCAAGCCCAGCAGGCTGGTGCCAGAGAGGTGGGCAGAATGGAAGGCTGGGTCCCCAGCCCTGGAGAGGAGAGCCAGGCCCACTCGGCCTTCACTTATTGAGATAACCTGGGAAGCCCTAAGCACAGAATCCAGCACAGGCCCAGCCTGGCACACACACTGCCATGAGTGACAGTGGCAGTAGCATTTTGAGCCCCTTGCATTGCAGAGGTGGGGAAGCCGAGGCCCAGAGAGGAACCCAGGGCTCGATCATGTGTCCCTGGGCACTGGTGAAGCAGTCTTTTCTGAGACCCCTGGAGGACCTCACAATTGGTGGGGGTGGAGAGAGGGCTCATGGTCTGGTTTTGGAAGCCCCTGCAGGGGAAGGTGGGCAGGGAGCTGTTCTCTGGGTGACTCTCCTGACTGGCCCTGCCTCACAGCAAGAACGCCCATGGCGAAGAGAAGGAGAACCTCACGGCCCAGGCCCTGGACCTGTCCCTCAAGTACCACTTTGTGACTCCGCTGACCTCCATGGTGGTGACCAAGCCTGAGGACAATGAGGACCAGGCGGCCATTGCCGACAAGCCAGGGGAAGGTGGGCATGGATGGTGGAGGCCAGAACCTGGAGACCTGCTTGTAGGAGCTGGGCCGTAGGGGTGCCCAGCATAGGAGTGGGCCAGACAGGGGAGGCCCAGACCTGCCAAAGAGGGTCTGGTCTGGGTGGACTGGAAAGAACACCGGACAAGGGCTGGGAGGGGGCGTGGGAGAGTAGAGCCGTCAGCATGGACAGTGGCCATCGTGCAAAGAGGCATGCGAAGAAACGGGGTGCATCGCCAGAGGCCATTGCAAACACAGGAACCAGGGCGGCAGCATGGAAGGGCTCAGTTAGACAAGAAGCAGCACTTCCAACCTGCAAGTTGGGCCTGGAATGAGCTACCAGGCAGCTGGGGACTGTAGGAGGGACAGGCCTTGAGAGCCAGAGGTGGCCAAGCCTCTGCAATCAGACCCCAGCCTGCACTACACCATGGGGGGCCCAGTGGCACAGGGTGCGGGTGTATGTAGGGGTTAGCACTGGGAGGTATGGGAAGGCAAAGAGCTTGCTCTAAGCCAAGCCAAGCCACTGGCTTCCAGAAGCCCCTGGTTCCAGGAGATAGCAGTGGGGACAGAGTCACATGCTGGGGACCCAAAGGCTGGGGCTGGCTGGCACAGCAGGGAGCTCTGGACCCCTCTGGGCACTCCCACTTGTCACACCAGCTTCTAATGCATTTCTTCTCTTCCTCCCCTGCGTGCCTGTGGATGCTCAGATGGTAAGCTCCAGGTGGGGACAGAGGGCTCTGCGGGCAGGAGACCAGAGGGAACTGTGGAGGCCTTTCCGAGCAAGCTGGGGTACCAGTTCTATTGCCAAATTATGAGTGCCCCCCTCACAAAGCCTCAGGGTTCCCATCAGTTGACTGGGGGTGGCTCCCCCTGGCCAAGGAAAGACCTCAGTATGAGAATATTCTCTAACCTGCAAAAATGAGCAACTTCTTACATGTCAGCCACTTACGCTCTCTCAATCCCGCGGAACCCTTTCTGACTGTGCCCTGGGGTGCCAGACCTGACTGCTGGGAGCGGTATTCCTGGGACACAAGCCCTTCGGCCACATCAAAATGCCACGCCCCTAGCATTCAATGACACTCCTATTGTCACCAACCCTATAAGGAGCATGTCCCCACTCTTGAAGGCTAAACTGAGAGTGACAGCTCCCTCTCTGCCAGGCTTGGGTCTCAAGACAGGCAGAAGGTCTGGGGTTGGGGGCAAAGGAATCCCGAGATCTGCTCACACCTGCTTCTTTGTAGGTACACCCCTGACCCCCAGCAGGTCTTGGATGGGTGAGTACATGCCGCCTGCTGCTGCTGTCCTGCCCTGTGCTCCCTCCTGAGCCAGCTCTCTGGGACAGACAGAGGGACCGTGTCCTGAGGAGACTGGGGGGG